TGGATTCCATGAAAGTTTCGGGTTATAGATGAAAATAGTAGCACACTGACACAGGAGGTGTTGAGGATTTGGGATGGGTTTGCACAAGTCAATGGGTTGGAAGTATAATTCACTGTTGATGCCCCTGGTGGATACAGAGTTTTTTCCACCGGGGAAAGACAATATTTCTGGGGAATGGTTTAAAGATAGAAATGCACGGTTAAGGGACACAGTAGACAAGGGGAAGTTATGCACTTTTCAAGAGTTAAAGAGTAAAAAAGATTTGCTTTTTACATTATTATTATTATTATTATTATACAGTATTTATAAAGCGCCAATAGTTTGCTCAGCGCTGTACATTACAAGGGGGACAGAACATGTGACAGAACAATACCAATACAATGCAAAACATGAGGGGATCGAGGGCCCTGCTCTTTCGAGCTTACAATCTAGGAGGGAGGGGATGGTGGCACAGGAGGAGATAGCTGTGGGGGATGGAGTGGTAGAAAGAGTGGAGGAGGTCGGCAAGTTAGCAGGGGTGGGGTAGGCTTCCCTGAAGAGATGGGTTTTCAGGGTGCACCTAAAGGAGAGGAGAGTAGGTGATATTCTGATGGGTTGGGGCAGGGAGTTCCAGAGGATGGGTGACACCCTGGAGAAGTCCTGGAGGCGGGCATGGGAGGAGGAGACCAGGGAACTAGAGAGAAGGAGGTCTTGTGAGGAGCGGAGTGTGCGTGTGCTGGGCGGTACTTGGATATTAGGTCAGTGATGTAGTTCGGGGCAGTATGGTGGACAGCTTTGTACGTTAGCGTTAGGATTTTGAATTTGATCCGTTGCGCAATCGGAAGCCAGTGGAGGGATTGGCAGAGGGGGGTGGCGGATACAGAGCGGTTGGAAAGGTGAATGAGTCTGGCAGCCGTATTCAGGATCGACTAAAGCGGGGATAGCCCAGCGGCGAGGCAGGCCAGTGAGGAGGGAGTTGCAGTAGTCGAGTCGTGATATGATGAGGGAGTGGATGAGCTGTTTAGTGGTTTCTGGGGTTAGGAACGTGCGGATTTTGGCGATGTTGCGGAGGTGGAGTCTGCACGAGTTTGTTAAAGATTGGACTTGGGGTTGAAAGGATAGGTTGGAGTCCAGAATGACACCAAGTACTCTGGCCTGCAGGGCGGGTTTGATGGTAGCGTTGTTGGATGTGACGGAGAAGTCAATGGGGGGTGGTGTCCGGGCTGGGGGGAAGACAAGAAACTCGGTTTTGGAGAGGTTCAATTTAAGGAAGTGGAGTGACATCCAGTCTGATATGTCGCTCAGTAGGTGTGTGATTCGGGCTGAGACCAAGGGGGTGAGGTGGGGGGTTGAGAGATAGATTTGTGTGTCGTCGGCATAGAGGTGGTAGTTGAAGTCGTGAGAGTGTATGAGTTGGCCAAGGGAGGAGGTATAGATGGAGAAGAGAATGGGCCCAAGGACAGAGCCTTGAGGAAGCCCAACAGAGAGGGGGACTGAGGGGGAGGTGGTAGCATTATAGGTAACGCTGAAGGAGCGTTGTGACAGGTAGGATGAGAGCCAGGAGAGAGCAGAATCTCTGAGGCCGAGGGAGTGTAGTTTTTTGAGGAGGAGGGGGTGGTCGACTGTGTCGAAGGCCGCAGAGAGGTCAAGGACTAGGAGCACTGAATAGTGGCCATTAGCTTTGGCGGTTAGCAGGTCGTTGGAGAGTTTGAGTAAGGCAGTTTCGGTGGAGTGTAGGGGACGGAAGCCGGACTGTAGGGGATCGAGGAGGTTGTTGTCGTTAAGGTGGGAGCATAGGCGGGTGTAGACTAGGCGCTCGAGGAGTTTAGATGTAAATGGGAGCAGGGAGATGGGTCTGAGGTTGTTCGGGTCATTAGGGTCCAGGGAGGGCTTTTTAAGTATGGGGGTGAAGTGTGCATGTTTCAGAGGGGAGGGGAAAGTGCCGGGGAGGAGGGAGAGATTGAAGATGTGGGTGAGGGAGCGTAGGATGGAGGGGGAAGGAGGTCGTAGGAGTTGTGAGGGGATAGGGTCGAGGGGGCAGGTGGTGAGGCGGGCATCAGAGAGGATCTTGGAGACTTCCTCGATGGTAGTAAGGTCAAAGGTGCAGAGTGTTTTCTATTTTTTCCGCAAACGTGCAGCTATAACGAAAAAAAAAACCCGTAAGTGTTCACAAAAAAGTGCAAGTGCAAAACACCACACAAAAAAGTGCACTTAAGGGTGTGCTTTTGTCCTACCCCCCGAAGGGGTTGAACCGTTACCCTGATCCCCCGGGGCACGAAGCTCCTGACAGGGACAAGGTTCCCATTTGGTCCTCCTGGCCAAAAGGCCTGGTGGACCACCGTTCCTTATGTCCAGCCGAAGCCGGACATCCAGTACTAGGTCAGGGGGTTCTCCCGAAGAGAAAACCCCCTAGGGACAGGGGAGGAAGGAACCGTATGGCCACACATCCTCCCCCTAGACGTCAGGGTTAGTAGCCCGAGGACCCACACCCTCCATCCTGTGAGAAAAACACACACAAAAGTAAAAGGTGACAAACGTGGGGTGAGGAAAAATAAATAAATAAATAATTAAATAAATCTATAAAAATAATAAAAAGTGTCGTGCCCAAATTGTGCACTGACCAGACCCTGAGGCCTGTAGCAAAAAAATTGCCCAGAACTTGACCAAAAGGCCCGGTCCTAGAGGCGCAGTGCAAAAAGTGTTAAACTCGGTGACCATGTGCTCATTCACAGCATGGGGTCCCACACCCAAGTGTTACTCAGAGCACCCCTGAGGCGACTACTCAGGGGGCACCTAGTTTGCGGACTCTCTGCCTTCCCAGCCCCAGGCCAGACCAAGGTAGACCGTCCAAATCAGGAGGCAACTGGGTCCTTCAGACGTCAAAGGTGCAGAGTGTTGGGGGAGCTTCAGTATGAGGAATGTAGGGTGGGGTGGAAGAGGAGGTCAGAGCAGTGGTGGGGCCGTGGGAGAGGGGTGATGAGGGGGTAGCTGAGTGAGGGTGAAGGGGTTGGAGAGAGTTTGTGCAGCGACGAAGTCCCTGCGGGTTATGTCGAGGGGAAGGGGGGATAAGGTGGTAGCTGTGTGAGAGGGGGACGGGTTGAGAGGGCGTGTGAGTTGCGGCAATGTCCTTGCGAATTGTGTCAATCTTGTTTTTGAAGTGATTGGCAATCTCAAGGGCAGTGAGTGAGGTGCTGGGTGGAGGTGGGGTGGAGAGAGTAGAGAGTTGAAGGCGGAGAAGAGTCGGCGAGGATTGGAGGAGAGGGCCTTGATGAGGGTCAAGAAGTAGGCCTGTTTGGCAGCATGGAGGGAGGAGGTGTAGGTGCGGAAGGCAGATTTGTAGCGGTTGAAGGCTTGTTGGGATTTTTTAGATGAATTGAGATATTATCAATTAGGACATTTTGTCTCAAAGCTCCCCCAACCATTGAGGATGCCGGAGGACATGCTTCCATTTGAAAAAATGTTGAGTTCTATGATAGTACATAAACATATAACCTCTAGGATATATAAGATCCTTATTGAACTGATGGGATCTGAACCTCCGTTATTCTTAGAGAAATGGGAAAGAGAATTTGAATGAGCAACAGAAGATTAAAATTAGAGATGAGCGAATCGAAGTAGGCCGCTGACCCATAATGCATTCCTTAATGACATGTGATCGCATTAGCCAATCAGCAGCCAGGCAGCCAGCACTGTGTAATGGTCGAGCTATAAATAGCGGCCATTTTAGAATTCTTCATTTGCCTCCAGTCATTCAAGAGAGGCAGACCGCTCTGTATTAGGGACAGAGTTAGGGCCACAGAAACGTTACTTGGGGACAGAGAAACGTTACTTAGGGACAGAGAAGCATTACTCAGGGACACAGAATTGTTAATGAGGGCCACAGAATCGTTACTTAGGGCCAAAGAAACGCTAGTTAGGGCCACAGAATTGTTACTCAGGGACAGACAGAATTGTTACTGAGTGCCAGAGAATTGTTACTTAGGGGCCACAGAAACGTTAGTTAGGGCCACAGAATTGTTACTCAGGGACAGACACAGAATTGTTACTGAGGGCCACAGAACTGTTACTTAGGGCCACAGAAACGTTATTAGGGCCACAGAATTGTTACTCAGGGACAGACAGAATTGTTACTGAGTGCCAGAGAATTGTTACTTAGGGCCACAGAAACGTTAGTTAGGGCCACAGAATTGTTACTCAGGGACAGACACAGAATTGTTACTGAGGGCCACAGAACTGTTACTTAGGGCCACAGAAACGTTAGTTAGGGCCACAGAATTGTTACTCAGGGACAGACAGAACAGAATTGTTACTGAGGGCCACAGAATTGTTACTTAGGGCACAGAATTGTTACAGGGAAACGTTAGTTAGGGCCACAGAATTGTTACTCAGGGACAGACACAGAATTGTTACTGAGGGCCACAGAATTGTTACTTAGGGCCACAGAAACGTTAGTTAGGGCCACAGAATTGTTACTCAGGGACAGACACAGAATTGTTACTGAGAGGCCACAGAATTGTTACTTAGGGCCACAGAAACGTTAGTTAGGGCCACAGAATTGTTACTCAGGGACAGAATTGACACAGAGGGCCACATTGAATTGTTACTGAGGGCCACAGAATTGTTACTTAGGGCCACAGAATTGTTACTCAGGGCCACAGAATTGTTACTGAGGGCCACAGAATTGTTACTTAGGGCCACAGAATTGTTACTTAGGGCCACAGAATTGTTACTCAGGGACAGACACAGAATTGTTACTGAGGGCCACAGAATTGTTACTTAGGGCCACAGAAACTTAGGGTTATTGTTTAGGGCCACAGAATTGTTACTTACTCAGGTTACAGGGCCACAGAATTGTTACTCAGGGAGGACAGAATTGTTACTGAATTGTTACTTAGGGCCACAGAATTGTTACTCAGCCACACACAGAATTGTTACTGAGGGCCACAGAATTGTTACTTAGGGCCACAGAATTGTTACTTAGGGCCACAGGGCCACAGAATTGTTACTCAGGGACAGACACAGAATTGTTACTGAGGGCCACAGAATTGTTACTTAGGGCCACAGAAACGTTACTCAGGGACACAGAATTGTTACTGAGGGCCACAGAACCGTTACTTAGGGCCACAGAATTGTTACTCAGGGACACAGGTTACAGGGACACAGAATTGTTACTGGGACACAGAATTGTTACTGAGGGCCACAGAACCGTTACTTAGGGCCACAGAATTGTTACTCAGGGACACAGAATTGTTACTGAGGGCCACAGAACCGTTACTTAGGGCCACAGAATTGTTACTCAGGGACAGACACAGAATTGTTACTGAGGGACACAGAATTGTTACTGAGGGCCACACAGAATTGTTACTACTAGGGACACAGAATTGTTACTGAGGGCCACAGAATTGTTACTAGGGCCACAGGGCCACAGAATTGTTACTGAGGGCCACAGAACCGTTACTTAGGGCCACAGAATTGTTACTCAGGGACACAGAATTGTTACTGAGGGCCACAGAACCGTTACTTAGGGCCACAGAATTGTTACTCAGGGACAGGGACACAGAATTGTTACTGAGGGACACAGAATTGTTACTGAGGGCCACAGAAACGTTAATCAGGGACACAGAATTGTTAATCTGAGGGACACAGAATTGTTACTGAGGGCCACAGAACCGTTACTTAGGGCCACAGAATTGTTACTTAGGGCCACAGAAACGTTACTCAGGGACACAGAATTGTTACTGAGGGCCACAGAACCGTTACTTAGGGCACACAGAATTGTTACTCAGGGACAGACACAGAATTGTTATTGTTGAGGGACACAGAATTGTTACTGAGGGGGTTACCACAGAACCGTTACTTAGGGCCACAGAATTGTTACTCAGGGACACAGAATTGTTACTGAGGGCCACAGAACCGTTACTTAGGGCCACATAAACGTTAATCAGGGACACAGAATTGTTACTGAGGGCCACAGAATTGTTACTGAGGGCCACAGAATTGTTACTGAGGGCCACAGAATTGACACAGAATTGTTTACTGAGGGACACAGAATTGTTACTGAGGGCCACAGAACCGTTACTTAGGGCCACAGAATTGTTACTTAGGGACACAGAATTGTTACTGAGGGCCACAGAACCGTTACTTAGGGCCACAGAAGTTACTTAGGGACACAGAATTGTTACTGAGGGCCACAGAATTGTTACAGGGCCACAGAATTGTTACTTAGGGCCACAGAATTGTTACTAGGGGACACAGAATTGTTACTGAGGGACACAGAATTGTTACTGAGGGCCACAGAATTGTTACTTAGGGCCACAGAATTGTTACTCAGGGACACAGAATTGTTACTGAGGGCCACAGAATTGTTACTTAGGGCCACAGAATTGTTACTCAGGGACACAGAATTGTTACTGAGGGCCACAGAATTGTTACTTAGGGCACACAGAATTGTTACTAGGGCCACAGACACAGAATTGTTACTCAGGGACACAGAATTGTTACTGAGGGCCACAGAATGTGTTACTTAGGGCCACAGAATTGTTACTCAGGGACACAGGGCCACAGATTGTTGTTACTGAGGGCCACAGAATTGTTACTTAGGGCCACAGAATTGTTACTCAGGGACACAGAATTGTTTGTTACTGAGGGCCACAGAACTGTTACTTAGGGCCACAGAAAGGTTACTCAGGGACACAGAATTGTTACTGAGGGCCACAGAACTGTTACTTAGGGCCACAGAATTGTTACTACTCGGACAGACACAGAATTGTTACTCAGGGACACAGAATTGTTACTGAGGGCCACAGAACCGTTACTTAGGGCCACATAAACGTTAATCAGGGACACAGAATTGTTACTGAGGGCCACAGAACCGTTACTTAGGGCCACATAATTGTTACTCAGGGACAGACACAGAATTGTTACTGAGGGACACAGAATTGTTACTGAGGGCCACAGAACCGTTACTTAGGGCCACAGAATTGTTACTCAGGGACAGACACAGAATTGTTACTCAGGGACACAGAATTGTTACTCAGGGACACAGAATCGTTGAATTAAAGAGTATGTCAGACAACATGCAGAGGAGTGGCAGAGGAGGCAATGTTTTAGGAGCGAGCAGACGTGGCAGCAGAGGAAGGGGTCGAGGCAGCACTATTCGCAGCCAGAGGCCAGTGCTCCCGGTGTCATCCAGCGGTCGTGTCTCTCCACCGACAACCCTGCCGTCGTCGATTGGTTGGCTCGGTCGTCTTCCTCTTCCCAGGTCACCTCTGACACCTACAGCCAACGGTCGGTGGGTACGTCAGACACAACCGTTAGTTGGCATGGCCCGGGACCAAGCCCACTGAAATCACGTGTCCTCTACCTGCCCCTGTCCTTTGGTGTTCCCTCACCAAGCGAAGTATCGCATGCTGTGGGCTCAGCCCCACTGTACAGTGAGGAAGAGCTAACAGAGGGCGGTCAGGAACGGGGGGAGACATCCGCCTTTTCAGCAGCCAGGCGAAGAAGTAGTGGCGAGGAGAGTGGCTCGGTAGCCGGTCTAGAGACAGGTCTGTCTCCTGACCCAGACGCAGCCGAGGGGGCTAGTAGTGAGGCGGAGACCCTACTTGATGATGAGGAGGTTGATCGCACTTGGCAGCCTCGTCGTCATCAGGCAATTTCTTCCGCATCATCAGGAGAAGAGGGTGGCAGCTTGGCAGCGAGCAAACAGTCGGTGGGTTGCCCAGGAGACAGCAGCAGGGTCGCAGCAGTGTCAGTGGAGCCAAACGGCCACGGAGTAGAGCACCAGCTCCACTGCAGCCTACCACCACGGCCAGTAGTGGTGCCGGTGTGCACGGAGGAAGAAGCAGCAGTCAGCCAGTGAGGAGTATCGGGGGCAAAGTTTCCTACTCGGCGGTGTGGCAATTTTTTGTCAAGCCGCCCGAGGAAGTAAACGTAGCCGTATGTCGACTATGTGGCCAGAAAGTCAAGCGTGGCCAGGGGGCCCATGTTGGGACTACAGCGTTGCGGCAGCATATGCAGCGTCGCCATTTGGTGGCCTGGGAAAACCGTGATAAAGATACGGCGGTTCTGCCCGCCCCAGCCCCCGCTCCATCACCCGCTCCGTTACTTGCTCCGTCACCTGACGTCAATCGCCCTCCATCAGCCAGTCAAGGCTCCAACACCTCTGCTGAGGGGAGTTGTCGCTCGTTGGCATCTTCCGCTCGTTCAGATGCTCCTTCTCCTGCTACTCCTCTTCACGGATTCCGTCAGCAGTCTTTCTTGGAATCCGTTTCCAAGAGACAACAGTTTGCGAGCACGCACCCGACGGTGCAAAAGCTGAACGTCCTCCTGTCCAAGTTGCTGGTGCTGCAGTCCCTCCCTTTCCAAGTGGTGGACTCAGCACCTTTCCGAGAAATGATGGCTTGTGCCGCGCCGCGGTGGAGAGTGCCAAGCCGTCATTTCTTCGCCAAAAAGGCAGTCTTCCGCCGTGTCCTCAGCCGCCACCCCCGTGCCAAGTCCCATTACCCGACCGGCATATCACATGTGCAGGGCGCAACGGTGTCACGCTGTGCTGCACCTGGTATGCCTTGGCGAACGTAGTCACACAGGGGAGGAAATTCTCAGTGTAATGAACAGAG